CTGTAAAACAGACGTACTGTTATATGGGCCTTGTTTTTCCATTTATAGAAAATAAGCAGAGTAGATTTGGCAAAATTCTTAAGGGCACTAGAATTTTCAAAATGGAAAATGAGCATTGGCTTAAAGTCACCAGCTGCATTATCCCCTAACAAAGAAGCCCGTTTTTTGAAGCTTTAAAACCAGGCATTGACTTCTGTCTAGGTACAGAAGTCCTAGGTGGCAGCTTCTTTCAGTACAAGGCTGTTTTGTCTACATTGAAAATCTGTTGTTTATTGTAACCCCTTCATCAGCTATCTTAGCTAGATCTTCCGAGTAACTTGCAGCAGCTTCTACATTAGGGCTTGCTGTCTCACCTTGTACTTTTATGTTGTAAAGGTTGCTTCTTTCCTTAAACCTCATGAACCAAAGTCTGCCAGCTTACAACTTTTTTCCTGCAGCTTCCTCACCTCTCTCAGTTCTTGCAGAATTGAGAGAAGTTGGGGCTTGCTCTGGATTAGGCTTTAGCTTAAGAAAATATTGTGGCTGGTTTGATTTTATATCCAGAACACTAAAACTTTCTCCCTAAAAGCAGTAATGTTGTTTTGCTTTCTTAACATTTGTGTGTTCATTGGAATAGCAGTTTTAATTTTTTTGTGTGTGTTCAGCATCTGTTTAATTTTATTGTTGTTAAGGAAGCTTAAAAACTGGATGATATAACTTTATCTGATTTTTTTTTTATTACTATACTTCATGTTCTTGGATACATGTGTGGAGTGTGCAGGATCGTTACATAGGTATACATGTGCCATGGTGGTTTGTTTCACCCATCAACCCATCATCCACATTAGGTATTTCTCCTATTAGGTGTGCCCTAGCCCCTGACTCTCTGACAGGCCCTGGTGTACGGCGTTCCCCTCCCTGTGTCCATGTGTTTTTATTGTTCAACTCCCACTTACAAGTGAGAATATGTGATGTATGGTTTTCTGTTCCTATGTTAGTTTGCTGAGAATGATGGTTTCCGGTTTTATCCATGTCCCTGCAAAGAACATGAACTCATCCTTTTTTAAGGCTGCATACTATTCCATGGTGAATATGTGCCACATTTTCTTTATCCAGTCTATCATTGATGGGCATTTGGGTTGGTTCCAAGTCTTTCCTTTTGTGAATAGTGTGGCAATAAACATACGTGTGCATGTCTTCATAGCAGAATGATATATAAACTTTTAGGTATATACCCAGTAATCAAATTGCAGGGTCAAATGGTATTTCTGGTTCTAGATCCTTGAGGAATTACCACACTGTCTTCCACAATGATTGAACTAATTTACCCTCCCACCAACAGTATAAAAGCATTCCTATTTCTCCACATCCTCTCCAGCATCTGTTGATTCCTGACATTCTAATGATCGCCATTCTAACTGGCATGAGATGGTATATCTTTGTGGTTTTGATATACATTCCTCTAACGACTAGAGATGATGAGGTTTTTTTCATATGTTTGCTGGCTGCATAAATGTCATCTTTTGAGAAGTGTCTGTTCATATCCTTTGCCCACTTTTTGATGGGGTTTTTTGTTTGCTTGTTTTTGTAAATTTGTTTAAGTTCCTTGTAGATTCTGGATATTAGCCCTTTGTCATATGGATAGATTGCAAACATTTCCTCCCACTCTTTAGGTTGCCTGTTCACTCTGATGACAGTTTCTTTTGCTGTGCAGAAGCTCTTTAGTTTAATTAGATCTCATTTGTCAATTTTGGCTTTTGTTGTCATTGCTTTTGGTGTTTCAGTCCTTAAGACTTTGCCCATGCCTATGTCCTGAATGATATTGCCTAGGTTTTCTTCTAGGGTTTTTATGGTTTTATGTTTTATGTTTCAGTCTTTAAACTATCTTGAGTTAATTTTTGTATAATGTATAAGGAAGGAGTCCAGTTCTGTTTTCTGCGTATGGGTAGCCAGTTTTCCTTACACAATTTATTAAATAGGGAATCCTTTCTCCACTGCTTGTTTTTGTCAGGTTTGTCAAAGATCACATGGTTGTAGATGTGTGATGTTATTTATGAGGCGTCTGTTCTATTTCACTGGTCTATATATCTGTTTTGGTACTAGTACCATGCTATTTTGGTTACCAAACTATACTAGCCTTGTAGTATAGTTTGATGTCAGGTAGCGTGATGCCTCTAGCTTTGTTCTTTTTGCTTAGGATTGTCTTGGCTATATGGGCTCTTTTTAAGTTCCATATGAAATTAAAAGCAGTTTTTTTTTTTTACTTCTGTGAAGAATGTCAATGATAGCTTGATGGGGATAGCATTGAATCTGTAAATTACTTTGGGCAGTATGGCCATTTTCACAATATTAATGTTTCCTATCCATTAGCATGGAATGTTTTTCCATCTGTTTGTGTCCTCTCTTATTTCCTCGAGCAGTGGTTTGTAGCTCTCCTTGAAGAGGTCCTTCACATCTCTTGTAAGTTGTATTCCTAGGTATTCTATTCTTTTTGTAGCAATTGTGAATGGGAGGTCACTCATGATTTGGCTATTATTGGTGGGTAGGAATGCTTGTGATTTTTGCACATTGATTTTCTATCCTGAGGCTTTGCTGAAGTTGCTTATCAACTTAAGGAGTTTTTGGGCTGAGATGCTGGGGTTTTCTAAATATACAATCATATCGTCTGCAAACTGAGACAATTTGATTTCTTCTCTTCCTTTCGAATACCTTTTATTTAGTTTTCTTAAGTGATTGCTCTGGCAAGAACTTCCAATACTATGCTGAGTAGGAGTGATAAGAAAAGGCACCCTTGTCTTGTGCTGGTTTTCAAAGGAATGCTTCTAGTTTTTGCCCATTCAGTATGATATTGGCTGTGGGTTTGCCATAAATAACTCTTATTATTTTGAGATATATTCCATGAATACCTAGTTTATTGAGAGTTTTTAGCAAGAACGGGTTGAATTTTATCGAAGGTCATTTCTGCATCTATTAAAATAATCATGTGGTTTTTGTCATTGGTTCTGTTTATGTGATGGATTACTTTTATTGATTTGCATACGTTGAATTAGCCTTGAATTCCAGCAATGAAGCCAACTTGATCATGGTGGATCAGCTTTTTGATGTGCTACCGGGTTTGGTTTGCCAGTGTTTTATTAAGGATTGCCACATTGATATTCATCAGGGATATTGGTGTGAAATTTATTTTTTGTGTGTTGGTATCAGGATGATGCTGGCCTCATAAAATGAGTTAGGGAGGAGTTCCTATTTTTCTGTTATTTGGAATAGTTTCAGAAGGAATGGTACCAGCTCCTCTCTGTACCTCTGGTAGAATTCTGCTGTCAATCCATCTGGTCCTGGGCTTTTTTTGTTGTTGTTGGTAAGCTATTAATTCATACCTCATTTTCAGAAATTGTCATTGATCTATTCCGGGATTTGACTTATTCCTCGGTTAGTCTTAGGAGGGTGTATGCATCCAGGAATTTATCGATTTTTTTTCCAGATTTTATGGTTTATTTGCATAGAGGTGTTTATAGTATTCTCTGATGGTAGTTTATATATCTGTGGGATCAGTGGTGATACCTCCTTTATTATTTTTTAATATGTCTATTTGATTCTTTTCTCTTTTCTTTTTTATTAGACTGGCTAGTGGTGTATCTATTTGTTAATCTTTTCAGAAAACCAGCTCCAGGATTCATTGATTTTTTGGAAGGGTTTTTCATGTCTCTATCTCCTTCAGTTCTGCTCTGATCTTAGTTATTTCTTGTCTTCTGATAGCTTTTGAATTTGTCTGCTCTTGCTTCTCTAGTTCTTTTAATTGTGATGTTAGGGTGCCTATTTTAGATCTTTCCTGTTTTTTCCTGTAGGCATTTATTTGTATAAATTTCCCCCAAACACTTCTTTAGCTGTATCGCAGAGATTCTGGTAAGCTGTGTCTTTGCTCTCATTGGTTTCAAAGAACTTCTTTATTTCTGCCTTCATTTCATTGTTTACCCAGCTGTCATTAAGGAACAGGTTGTTCAGTTTCCATGTAGTTGTGCGATTTTGAGTGAGTTTCTTAATCCTGAGTTCTAATTTGATTGCATTGTGGTCTGAGAGACTGTTTGTTATAATTTTCATTCTTTTGCATTTGCTGAGGAGTATTTTACTTTCAGTTATGTGGCCAATTTTAGAATAAGTGTGATGTGGTACTGAAAAGAATGTATATTCTGTTGATTTGGGGTGGAGGGTTCTGTAGATGTCTATTAGGTCTGCTTGGTCCAGAGCTTAGTTCAAGTTGTGAATATCCTTGTTAGCTTTCTTTCTCATTGATTTGTCTAGTATTGACACAGTGGTGTGTTAAATTTTCCCACTAATATTGTGTGGGTGTCTAACTCTCTTTGTAGGTCTCTATGAACTTGCATTGTAAATTTGAGTGCTCTTGTATTGGGTGCATGTATATTTAGAAAAGTTAGCTCTTCTTGTTGTATTGATCCCTTTACCATTATGTAATGATAAAGGGATCTTTGTCTTTTTTTATCTTCGTTGGTTTAAAGTCTATTTTATTAGAGACTAGTATTGCAACCCCTGCTTTTTTTTCATTCTCCATTTGCTTGGGAAGTATTTCTCCATCCCTTTATTTTGAGCTTATATATGTCTTTGCACGTGAGATGAGGCTCCCGAATACAGCACACTGATGGGTCTTAACTCTTCATCCAATTTGCCAGTCTGTGTCTTTTAATTGGGGTACTTAGTTTGTTTACCTTTAAGGTTAATATTATTATGTTTGAATTCGATCCTGTCATTATGATGCTGGCTGGTTATTTTGCCCATTAGTTGATGCAGTTTCTTCATAGTGTCAATGGTCTTTACAATTTGGTATGTTTTTGCGGTGGCTGGTACCGGTTTTTCCTTTCCATATTAAGTGCTTCCTTCAGGAGCTCTTGTAAGCCAGGCCTGGTGGTGACAAAATCTCTGAGCATTTGCTTGTCTGTAAAATATTTTAATTCTCCTTTGCTTATAAAGCTAAACTAGGCTGGATATGAAATTCTAATTCTGGGTTAAAAATTCTTTTCTTTACAAATGTTGAAGTTTAGTGGCAGCACTGCCTCTGCTCCCCGGTCCCAGCCTCAAGCAGCCCTGAGGATGGGCTGCCCTTGGTGGCAACTGTGGGTGGGCTGCTGGTGCTGGACACGCACAGGCAGAAAGTGCTGTTCCACTCACTGTTCTGGAGTGCTGAGCCATGGTGGTGTTAGTGCAGCATTTCCTGTGTTACATCTGCAAGGAATACGTAAAGGATCTGGCCAAAATCCCCAAGAGTTTCTTACAAAAAGCAAATGTCACCCTCATGGTGATTGGACAGTCATCCTATCATCATATAGAGCCTTTTTTGCAAACTGACTGGATATTCTCATAAAATGTATGTCGATACTAAGAGGGAAATTTATATAAGATTGGGAATGAAAAGAGGTGCAGAAATTGCTTTCTCAGGACAGAGTCCCCACATAAATTCAAATCTACTCTCAGAAGCCTTCAGAACCTGTGATAGGCAGTAACTGGAACTCTCTTTGATTCTCAAGGAGGCCCATTTCAGCAAGGTGAAACTCTCATTTTAGGTCCATGTAACAACATTCATTTTTATACACTGTGATAGGAATAGGTTGGATCACAAACCTATCAACTCTATTTTACAGCTTGTAGGAGTTCAGCATTTGAACTTTACAAACAAACAGTCTTTCAGTTATCCATGTATGACTTAACATGGAATCAGTCACTTTCAACTGGACTTTCTGGAATGTGACCTTCAATGCTGGGCTGTAATATCCTTGTACAGTGTCTAACTTGCTGTCCCTTCCCAGCCTTTGAGGACTTAGGGAAGCATAAAGAGCCCTTGAACCAGTTGAACTGCCTGCTGAGAAGCATCAGTTGTCAAAAATGTAATACATACTTCCATTTTATAGCTTTTAAAATGTTATACAAAATAACAAAAATGAATATACAAAATATAACTTTAAAAGCTATAAAACCATAATTACCATTTAAAGTATTTTACGTTATGGTATATTCAGTCTTGAAAGATTTTTTGGCAATTAATATAAATTCTGATAAAGAATATATAAAGGGAGGGGAGATACACAAGACCATTGTATTCAGTGAAAAAAGCAAAATATCAAATTCTGTCAACAATATAACAGCATTTTTATATGTATATGTTTGTTTGTATTTTTGTATGCTTAGGGAAAAGACAGAAAATAAACACCAAAATGTTGCTAGTAGGTATCTCTGTGTTAAGATTACAGTGCTTTTTTCTGTGCTTTTCTGTATTTCCTGACTGTTCTATAATGAGCATGATTAATATTGTGGGGCCAGGAAAAGGTCTTTAAACATGATATCACAAAACTGCAAATAATATAGGCTGCAGTCCATGTTTTCATCCTAATCGCTTTACTCAGAGGAAGTGTGGCAATCCGAATGTCTCACATATAGCCAATGTCCACAGAACCTTCTCACTACTCACTTGCTATCCATTTCACTAGAACTTTTGGGGATTGGAAGAACCATGAAGAGTACATTTGTTTTATATATGTAAGATACGTATTTAAAATATGGTTAGTGTGCTTTTTGAAAGGAAACTGTAAGAATTTTTTTTTTTTTTTTTGAAATGAAGTCTTGCTCTGTTGCCCAGGGTGTGCAAAATCTCAGCTCACTGCAACTTCCATCTCATGGGTTCAAGTGATTCTTCTGCCTCGACCTCCCAAGTAGATGGGATTACAGGTGTCCACCACCACACTGGCTAATTTGTGTTTTTAGTAGAGACAGGGTTTCTCTATGTTGGCCAGGCTGGTCTTGAACTCCTGCCTCAGTCTCCCAAAGTTCTAGAATTACAGGCATAAGCCACCAAGCCCAGCCAAGAATTGTTTAAATTTTTAAAAACTTTGTAACTTGAATGTACACTATGGTTTAGTTGTGCATTCCTAGAAACTAATATTTCTCACCCCCAAATTGCTCTTATTTTGAAGACTGTTTTCATCTTTCATTTTTCTAGAATCTTAATCTGTTTAGTTGGGAAATATCCCAGAAATCCTGATGAAATGTATAGCAAAATCAGGATTTTGGTAATTATTAGCAAGTATAATACTGTTTTGACCTCAATACTTTATATAAAGCATATGAAGTTACAAAAAAATTAATGTATTAAAATATTTGAATATATTTTTATGCTTGTATAATTATGTTTTTATTCAATAAAAATGAAATTTATCATTTAAAATTCCAAAAAAAAAATGTTGAATATTGGCCCCCACTCTCTTGTGGCTTGCAGGGTTTCTGCAGAGAGATCTGCTGTTAGTCCGATGGGCTTCCCTTTGTGGGTAACCCGACCTTTCTCTCTGGCTGCCCTTAACATTTTTTCTTTCATTTCAACCTTGGTGAATCTGACAATTATGTATTTTGGGGTTGCTCTTCTTGAGGAGTATCTTTGTGTTGTCCTCTGTATTTCCTAAATTTGAATGTTGGCCTGCCTTGCTAGGTTGGGGAAATTCTCCTGGATAATATCTTGAAGAATGTTTTCCAACATGGTTCCATTTTCCCCATCACTTTCAGTTACACGAATCAAACCTAGGTTTGGTCTTTTCACATATTCCCATATTTCTTGGAGTCTTTGTTCATTCCTTCTTTTCATTCTTTTTTCTCTAATCTTGTCTTCATGCTTTATTTCGTTAAGTTGATCTTCAATCTCTGATATCCTTTCTTCCACTTGATCATATTGATACTTTTGTATGCTTCATGATGTTCTCGTTCTGTGTTTTTCAGCTTCATCAGGTCATTTATATTCTTCTCTAAACCGGTTATTCTAGTTAGCAATTCCTCTAGCCTTTTATCAAAGTTCTTAGCTTCCTTGCATTGGGTTAGAACATGCTCTTTTAGTTTGGAGGAATTTGCTATTACCCACCTTCTGTAGCCTACTTTTGTCAATTCATCAAATTCATTCTCAATACAATTTTGTTTCCTTGCTGGCAAGGAATTGAGATCCCTTGGAAAAGAAGAAGTATTCTGTTTTTTTTTTTTTTTTAATTTCAGCCTTTTTACACTGGTTTTTTCTCATCTTCATGGATTTATCTACCGTTGGTCTTTGATGTTGGTGACGTTCAGATGGGGTCTCTGAGTGGACGTTCTTTTTGTTGATGTTGATGCTATTCCTTTCTGTTTGTTAGTTTTCCTGCTAACAGTCAGCCCCCTCAGTTGCAGGTCTGTTGGAATTTGCTGGAGGTCCACTCCATATCCTGCTTGCCTGGGTATCACTAGCAGAGGCTGCAGAACAGCAAGGATTGCTGTCTGTTCCTTCTTCTGGAAGCTTCGTGCCAGAGGGGCACCCACCAGATGCCTGCCAGAGCTCTCCTGTATGAGGTGTCTGTGGACCCCTGCTGGGAGGTATCTCCCTGTCAGGAGGCACAGGAGTCAGGGACCCACTTGAGGAGGCAGTCTGTTCTTTAGCAGAGTTTGAGTGCTGTCCTGGGAGAACCACTGCTCTCTTCAGAGGTGGCAGGCAGGAATGTTTATGTCTGCTGAAGCTGCACCCACAGCTGACCCTTCCCCCAGGTGCTCTGTCCTAGGGAGATAGGAATTTTATCTATAAGCCCTTGACTGGGGCTGCTGTCTTTATTCAAAGATGTCCTGCCCATAGAGGAGGAATCTAGAGAGGCAGTCTGGCTACAGCAGCTCTGTGGAGCTGTGGTGGACTCTGCCCAGTTTGAACGTCCTGGTGGCTTTGTTTATACTGTGAGGGGATAATCGCCTACTCAAGCCTCAATAATAGCAGAAGCCTCTTCCCCCACCAAGCTTGAGCATCCCAGGTCAACTTCAGACTGCTCTGCTGGCAGCAAGAATTTTAAGCCAGTGGATATTTGTTTGCTGGGCTCCATGGGGGTGGGATCTGCTAAGCTAGACCACTTGGCTCCCTGGCTTCAGCCCCCTTTCCAGGGGAGTGAATGGTTCTGTCTAACTGGCACTCCAGGTGCCACTGGGGTATGAAAAAAACTAGCAGTTTTAATTTTATCCAAAAACTTTTCCTTTGCATTTATAATTTGGCTGACTGTTTGGTGCAAGAGGCCTTGCTATCTTGATTGTCAGCATGCCTTTCTCATTAAGTTTAATGATTTCTAACATTTGGTTTGAAGTGAGTGACATTGGACTCTTCTTTTCACTTGAACATTAATCATAGAATTATTAATTGACCTAATTTGAATATTGTTTTGTCTCAGAGAATAGGGTTGTCCAAAAAGAGGGGAGACATGAGGGAACAGTTGGTTAGTGGAACAAGTGATCTTTGTTTTTGTTTTTATTGTGTGTTTCAGAATGCATACAACATTTATTAATTAAGTACCATGTCTTATATGGGTATAGTCCATGACGTCCCAAAAGGATAGCAATTGTATCATCAAAGATCACTTATTGCTCACACACAGTGGCTCATGCCTGTAATCTGAGCACTATGAAAAAGGCCAAGGGGTGCAGATAGCTTGAGCCCAGGAGTTTGAGAACAGCCTGGGCAACATGGCAAAATTCCATCCATACAACAACAACAAAATTAGCCGGGCATGGTGGCGCGCACCTGTAGTCCCAGCTACTTGGCAGGCTGAGGTGGGAGGATCAATTGAGCCCAGGAGGTCCAAGCTGCAGTGAGCCATGATCATGCTGCTGCACTCCAGCCTGGGTGACAGAATGAGACCCTATCTCAGAAAACAAAAACAAAAACAAAGATCACTTATCACAGATCATTGCAATAGATAAAATGATGATGAAAAAATTTCAAATACTGTGAGAATAATCAAAATGTGACACAGAGACATGAAGTGAGCACACATTGTTGGAAAAATGGTGCCAATGGACTTGCTCAACACAGGATTGTTAACTTCAATTTGTAGAAAAAAATAAAATAAAATGCAGTATCTTGGAAACATAATAAAGTGAAGCATAGTAAAAACAGATATGTATGTATAATGTTTAGTGAGTTTTAATATATTCAGAGTTGTACAACTAATACCACTGTTTAATCCCAAAAAGATTTTATCACTCCAAAAAGAAACCTATACCCATTGACTATCACTTTCCTTATTATCCCATTATTAACTTTCAATGATTCTTTTGGCTTGTCTTTTCATTCCCTTGACAGTATTTTAGAAAGATCAACAATTCTTAATTTTGATGAAATCCAGCTTATCAATTTTTTCTTTCATGTGTTGTTAAATTTTCTCCTCTTTCAAGTAGAAATAGTAGGTCTTTTTGGAAAATTCCCCAATCCATGCTTAAAACTCCTGGGTCTAGGAAAACTGCACCAATTTGTACCTGTTTTTTTTTTTTTTTGACAGAGTCTTGCTCTGTCACCCAGTCTTGAGTGCAATGGCGTGATCTCAGCTCACTGCAAGCTCTGCCTCCCTGGTTCAAGCAATTCTGCCTCAGCCTCCCAAGTAGCTGAGATTACAGGTGCCCACCACCACTCCCGGCCAATTTTTTATATTTTTAGTAGAGATGGTTTTTTGATATGTTGCTCAGGGTGATCTCAAACTCCTGACCTCAAGTCATTCACCCACCTTGGCCTCCCAAAGTGCTCGGATTACAGGTGTGAGCTACTGCACCTAGCCCAATTTGCACCAATTTTAAGGTAGGCTGTAACCAGTTTCATAGATTGTTTGATCCATGGTGTTGCAATTAATGTACGCATAGGGGTTAGGACAAATTGGGTTTCCATTTTTTGTTCTAAGCTATTTATTTGTCCCAAATCTTAATAACTAGATTTTTCCAGAACCATATGACATTCATCCAAATTACTAGGCAAAATAATTTATGAAGAGACAAGCAACCTAGGGACAGTAGTATGGAATTAAGTAACTCCTGATGGTCTGCAACAATTTATAAATAATCTTGAACCTAATTAACTAAGAAGGAAAACAGGCTAGAAAAAAATGAGTTATCGCCTAAATCTACAGAAAGTGCTACTGGATTTAATTTTCACTGGCAAACCCTATCAGAAAAGAGCAATAAAAATCTTAAATTCAAACCATCTTCAAATGACTATAGCTCCAACTAATAAAATGTCAAGTATAAAATTAGTACATACTTCAGCTGTCTGGAAATTACTTACAAAGGGTTGTTTAACCACATAGAATGTGGGCTTTTGTTTTGCAACTAACCAGCACACAGAACCATAAATAGCTTATATGAGTGGTTAAGAAGACAATATTTGAGGAAGAGACTTCTTATTTTACAAAATGGAAAC